CTGCGCGGTGACCGGTGCCAGTCTCTCCTCATCTCTCTCCCTGGGCGTTTGCAGGTGGCAGAGAGACCCCAGCCCTAGGCAGGGGGGCGGGGAGGGACCGGAGCAGCATGGCACACTCCGTCTCAGCCTTCCAGGCTGCCTACATCTCCATCGAAGTCCTCATCGCCCTGGTGTCCGTGCCGGGGAACATCCTGGTGATCTGGGCGGTGAAGATGAACCAGGCGCTGCGGGACGCCACTTTCTGCTTCATCGTGTCCCTGGCGGTGGCCGACGTGGCGGTGGGGGGTCTGGTGCTCCCCCTGGCCGGGGGCTCTGGTCATCCCCTTGGCCATCATCATCAACATCGGACCCCAGACCGAGTTCTACAGCTGCCTGATGGTGGCCTGTCCCGTCCTCATCCTCACCGAGAGCTCCATCCTGGCGCTCCTGGCCATCGCCGTGGATCGGTACCTGCGGGTGAAGATCCCCGTCAGGTAGGAAAAGGAATTGGGATGGGCTCTGCTGCGGGGCTTAAAAAGGGAGAGAGGGTTCCTCAGACTCTTGGAGAGGCACTGGGAGAAAGGTTTTCCTTCACAGGGCACGTCTGGCTTGAGCCTGGGGGGGTCCCGGAGCCTCCAGCAGCTTCGTGTTGGGGCTCAGGGGGGTGCTGGGTGTGCAGGCACTGGGAGGCACCAGGGATTGCACTGTGGCAGCTGGCAGATGGGGCAGGACAGCCCCTCCTGGGGTCCCCGTGGCTGGGACAAAGTGTCTCCCACCAACACAGGGGAGAGCAGCCAGCAGGGTGCTCCAGGGAGTGGAAAAGGGATGGCGGGTTTGTCTTCAGCCCAGGTTTTCCCTTGCCATGGGGAGCCCAGGTGCCAGGGAGTATGAACCTGCTTGTTCATGGGGACAGCTCTGGGGCTTTGAGGGACCAGAGGTGACAGCCTGGCATGTCTCATGGGGGAGGCTCACCCAGGAGAGCCCCCAGGTTATGGGGCTGCCCCACAAATGACTCCTCACCCTGCTTTCCCCTTGTCATCTGTACCTGCTGTCTGAGCCAAGCAAACACCGTGGGGCATAGACTAGGGACACAAACTGTGTTTGAACTCTTCTGCTCCAGGAGGAGATATTTAACCTCTTCGTGGCCAGCTCCCTCCCTGCTGTTGCAGAGCAACACCCCGCAGAGGGACTGGGGGTGCCAGTGGGGAGGAAGGGGATGTGACCCCCAGCACCCCAGCTCAGCCCCTCGCTGCTCAGTGGCTGTTGCTGGTCCCCTCTGCTCTGCTCGAGGACATGCCCAGGCTGCAGGGACACCTTTGCTGGGCTCCTTGCCTCCAGGGACACCTTTGCTGGGCTCCTTGGCTCCAGGAAGGCTCCTGCTGCCGAAAGCATTGCTGGAAAACTCATCCCAGGCAGGGTGGCTGAGCACACACCCAGCTCGTGTCACCCTTTGCAGTTCAGACATGGGCTGCAGCCCTTCTGCTGGGGGAGTCCACGACCCTCCATCAGCACAAAGACCTCCCTGAAAGGGACCCAATGCCCTTATATGAGGTGCTGCTCAGATGCCAATGGGTGTAGGACCCTTCCCAGGGCAGGAATCACCTTTCTGTGCAGGGAGAAAGGGACAGGAGACACTTGTGTCGGGCTTGACCTGCCAGATCCAGTGGATCAGGCCAGAGATCTGTTGCTTTGGGCTTTTTCCTGTAGCTGTTGCCAGTGGAGGTTGCTCAGTGAAGGGGTGTAAGGCAGAAGTGGGGGACAGGATAAACTCCCAGTCACTGCCCACCCCCTCCGTGCCACACATGATTTCACAGACTGTTCCCAACTCCTTCCTGGAGTGTGATTTTCCCAGCCTGAAAAATCCTCAGCTTCCAGTCTGAAAAACTCCTCAGCTTCCAGCCTGAAAAACTCCTCAGCTTCCAGCCCCTCAGTGTAACCAAAGTGATTCTCACCCTGTCATTGCTCTTGGTGCTTTTTTTGGTCCTCCTGCATCCCCTGTGTGCTGGGGATGGTTTCAGGTGTGGGAGTGCTGCATCTTTATACATAGCAACTCTGCCTAGCTCTCGTCAGTCATTTTTCTAACAAACCCAGCCTTTTATCCTCCCTGGCTGCCTCTGAGCATCCCATGGGCCTTTTCAGGGAGCTTTCTGCCCTGAGACTGGGAGTCTTGGAGTGATGTGAAGTTAGAGCCCCCTGTGCTTTAGTTTGAATGGGATTTTCTCATGCCATATCACCCCTGAATTTTGTCATCCCCTTATGTGTCACTCGGTGCCAGGAGGTTTTTCTCTTGACTTTTTGTAGCCTACTTGAATATCAAAAGGCTTCGTAGCCTCAGCAAGAAGAGTTTGGCTTCACCAGCTCTGCTGCCTGCTTGTCCCTGGGTGTTTCCTTCTTCCCCTGGTGTGAATTCCCAGCAGTTGGCAAATGTGTTGATTTTAGGTGATTTTGTGCCCTAGACACAGCAGCAGCAAAACAACACTGGAGATGGGAAGCAAGACAGAAAACACCACTTAAAACCATCCCCAGAATCTGAAATGCCTCGAGTTGCTCCCAGCCTGTTCCTCGATGCTAAAAGATGATGCTGGGAACATTTTCACAGCACTGAGAGTTCCAGTCTGGCTTTCATGGCATGTTCCTGGTGTCGTTCCTCACTCAGCACCCAGCCCACCAATGCCCAAATGGGTGCTGGGTGCTGAGAGCCTGCAGCACCTCAGCAGGACTTGGGTCCCCAGTGAGACCAGAGGGGACAGCAGGGAAGGGAAATGCATTGGATAGGGAACACGACAGGGGCTGGGAGCAGTGAGGAGAAAGGCTCCATGAATCCCTGCTCCATCCTCTCACCGACCACCTCTCACATGCTCTCTCCTCTCTGGGGGGTCCCCAGAGAATCACCACCTGCATTTTGGGTTCCAAGAGTGAGCAAGGATTTCCACATCCCTTCATGTCCTGGCCGATCAGAATGAGAAGCCAGCGGGGCTGTTGGTTGGGAAGAGTTGTCTGAAGGAGAAGCAAAGTCTCCACTGGACTCTCCAGGCTTTCTGTGTAAGCAGGCAGAGCTGGCAGGGAGGGGAACACGGGGCACTGCAGCCCAGCTCCAGCTCCCAGCTGCCCACACACCCCCCGGCCCTGGGGGGCTGCAAGCTTTGGGGAACAATCGACAGGTTTGCTGCTTCTTCCAGCAGAGCCATGGACCCATCTGCTGCTCAGGAGTGCTGCTCATGGAGAGAGCCCTGGGGGCAGACTGGGAGCCCTGCAGCCCTGGGCTTGGGTGGGTTTTGGCAGCATGTCTTGAGCAAACGATGCCCTGAGAGATTTGTGATGTCTCAGCATGGCAGCAGGAGATGCCCCAGGAGCTTCTGATGTTAGGTGTCCTCCTCAATCCCACAGACACAGGAACACAGAAGAATGGGAAGGGGGGGGG